TCTCCTGCTTTTTATGAATTTTGAGCGATAAATGTAACTGTACATCAATGGTCTAAGTCTAAGTGGTCTAAAAATAATCAAACAATGGCATCTCTGTTGGTAAGGTAAGGTTGGGTACATCTAGATTCTAGACCCCCAAGATCCCAACAGAGTTCAGATTACATAATGGGTTTGTTTTGGTTGCTATCAGTGAAGGTTTCGTTTTAGTTCACGTTCATCTTATTTTTTGTTATAAACGCTACACAAGTATTGTTAGAAGACTACATATTACATTAAAAGAGCATTGCATTAGATTGATATATTTAATTCTACATCACTCTCTGTCTAACATTTTTTCATTTCTTTTCAGTCTAATAATGAATTGTCATCATCCAACAATGGCAACCCTTGTTTTGCGATTCCTCCATTTGTGCCTTTTCAATTAATTAGGTGTCATAGACATGGCCGACAAAGTATACCACAACCATCAAAATTAGCAGAATTCTACTCAATCTTTATTGGTCGTAAAAAATTTGTGGCATTAAATATTGTTGGCAGAGTTGGATTTTCTTCCAATGATAATACTCAGTATCTGTTCAAGAGGACGACTGGTTATGATGCTTTGAAAGTAGAAGATTCACAGAAACTTCTACCATTGTCTGATGTGTATAACTGTTTTGATGAGAATACGTCGATTGAATTAAAGGTTGATCTAGAAGATCTTGATGACGAGTTTAAGAATAGAGGTTTTGCTACTTACAAACTTGGATTTGTGAACCATAACTCATCATATAACACCCAAATATGTTCTGTTTTCCCGGGCAAAGATGGGTTTTGTGCATTGCACTATTCCTTGTTCCCAAGAGCTTGTGAAGCAAGCATCGAGATCTTTTTAAGAGTTAAGAGTGCTCAGGCACAGGATGGCAAGATCTATGGAAGCGCAATCACACAATATAGCAACTTTAACTACTCAACTAAGCTCAAGAGAGATTATTTTTGGAGCGTGCTTTTCAAAAGGACTGACAAGGATCCAATACAATTAGGGAGTGATGGGAGAGTGCCACTTTCTCGATGTGCAGTCGTGGTGCCAATGGATTCGTCCCTCATTATTGAAGTAGATTTTTGTAGCTTGTCTGTGAAAGATCATCTAACATTCACAGAAAAGTTTAAGATTGGATGTTGCTGCTTTAGAACAGAAACAAATGATTATGAACTTGGCATCAGGTTCACTTGGAGTGATGGTAAGTAATTGTATTTTTTTGTTATACTTTACTGTTCTAGCTTTTTCTGTTTCAGTTATTTTGGAAACAGCCTGTCTAATTCCAAGTAGGGGTAAGTTGTACTTACAAACATCCTTCCAGGCCCTACTCGTGTGGGATCAAATTGGGTTGTTATTGTTGTTGCTATTTCAGTTGGTTTACAAGAATATGCCACAAACCAAAGCAGTGTGCCTGGTCTATCAACTCTTAAGAGTCTCACATTTGATTATTTAATAAAGAATGATAGGTGAATAAGATAAAGAGTTGAACTACATAATTGATTTGTTTAGCGTTAGTCAATTGAGAGTCTTACAACCAGATTTTTTTGATAATCTTTAGTAGTGGGCTCTCAGTTTGTGATGGATCAATCATGAAAACCAAGTTAGCAAGGTTACTACTCCGTAATTTATTTGTAGCATTCAGTCGCCTTGTTTGATGATGAAGGGTAACTAGTGAAAGGTATAAGTAAAAGTGCTTCTGATGTTCTAAGACGTTATGGGCGCTAAATGCATCA